TGCAATTTCAATTCAGGCTTTTGTTCGAGGCTTTTTTGTGAGGAAGGAAATGCATTTAGCCAAGGCACGGCAACAAAGAGACGAAGAGCGGAAATGCATCAAAGCCGCTGAATCATCTACTCTGATTCAGTCACAATGGCGAGGGTCTCGTCAACGTTATAAATATATGCTATGCAGAGTTGCTGCRATTTCAATTCAGGCACTTGTTCGAGGCTATGTTGTGAGGAAGCAAATATATTTAGACAAGGCAAGACAGCAAAGAGAGGAAGCTCTGAAGACCGAAGAGCTGAAATACTGGAAAGCAACTGAATCATCCCTTATGATTCAGTCCAACTGGCGAGGTTCTTTGAGACGCACTGAATTCATGACTTTTAAAGTTGCTGCAATTTCTATTCAGGCGCTTGTTCGAGGTTTTGTTGTGAGGAAAGAAATCCATTTAGACAAGGCAAGACAACAAAGAATGGAAGAGCTAAAATACAAGGAATACAATGAATCATCTATTTTGATTCAGTCACATTGGCGCGCTTCACAACGGCGCAGTGGATATATGCAGTATAAGGTTGCCGCGATAATGATTCAAGCTAGTGCTCGTGGTGCTTTTATTCGGACACAATATAAATATAAATCCAATCGAGGTTCCATCATTTTCATTCAAAAAATGGTCAGAGCGCATCTTTGTCGGAAACACCTCTACGAGCTTCATGCTGCAGCTATCCAGATTCAGCGTGTTTGGAAAGGGAACGTAGCAGTCCGAATGTATCGCAAAGTGACCGAATCAACCACGATGATCCAATCGCAATGGCGAGCATCAAAAACCCGGGGTGAATTTGCTGCGATGATTATCCAAGCCATGACACGTGGTGCTCAAGTTCGTTCGCAATGGCGTTTTGTCCGGATGCTGTCAAAAAGGAAGAAGATCTTCAACGTGTCAGCAAGAAGGATCCAGGTTGCGTTCATTCTTTGGAGGATGAACATTGCGCTGTGGGAAGTGAAATCATTGGCCGTTTTATTGAAGAGAGGTATCCGTGGGCAACTAGCGCGTTCTGTTATTCACTATGCACTAATACATATGAATTCTTTACGCAATTCAATGAYTATTGAATCATTCGACCGAGTCCTCAGGAATAAAGATACATACCGAGGCATATCAGGGATGATTGCATGGCATACGGCTGTGTCCGATATTAGGACATCGGCTTCGATTTTGATCCAGAGCTATGTAAGAACATTTATGACAAGAAATCAAGTAATGGAGGAATTTGGATTCGTATTTGACAAAAGATTTGTCTACGAAACACCAACGGCAATCAGTGAACACGCTGCTATTGCCATCCAACAAAGTTTCCGTGAATGGCTGAAATTGCGAAGTTCTTCTGCGGTTTTGATTCAGAAGTCTGCTCGAGGGTGGATTTCCTGGATTACATACAATAATGTTATACTGCCAGCACATCACGAATCGAGGGCGATGGCTGCMACAAAGATCCAAACTATTCATCGTTATCGWAAGCAAAGGTATCGGTTCACTCTTCGAAAGGGAGCCATTGTTCAGATCCAAACGGTCTGGCGTGGCTTCCAAGCCCGAAAATTAYTAAAAAACTAYGAAGCCCAGCGCTGTCTTATGCTAAAGGCTTTCGCAATTTTGAAACTCCAGGCCCTGTATCGAGCACGAAAACAAAGGGTTAGATTTCTTGTCCAAAGGAAAGGATCATTAAAGATTCAGAATTTTTGGCGTAGAGTTTTCACACGCAAATCGTTCATCAAATGGAAAACTGCAGCTGGCATAATTCAGATGACCTATAGGTACTACAGGCAGCGCAAGGCGCATCAGTACATGCTGGTTTCCTGCGTTGTCAAAGTTCAAAGTCTGGCCAGAAAATTAACCGCGCGAAGGATGTTTTTGGAAAGGCGACGTATGTTCGAGATTCAGGCAGAGCTATCTCTGAACCATTTTTTGGAACAAACAAGGGATGTGAGTGCCTCGATCGCAGAAGACTTGCTAACAAACTCCGACTCAATGACCAACGGACCGTGCATGAGAAGGCTGGCAGATCGCGTCAATGACACCCTGAGAGAAGCAAAATTGGCTTCCGATGAAGTCGTTCCCGACTTTGTCCACCGATTCAGAGCCGTTATTCCTCTTCCGTCTACGGCTCGAAAACCCGCGTCACCGGCTCTGTTGCGTTCCAAATCGACCGACACGGACACCCCTGTCCGAGGCAACAGGGCAGTCCCAAACAAGGCWGCACCAGAAACCAAGATCGASCATACGAGTACTAGCTCCAAGCCGGTGTCTCCTGTTGCCTCGAGCTCCGGCGGRCGAAACGTGTTCAGGACTGCCGGCGGGGCAGGAAATGTCCTTGCAAATCACGAATTCGAACTCTTGCGCGAGAGGACCACCCGGAAGAACCGGGYYGACGCATCCCTGCCACAACGCACACCGAAACCGGCGTCCCCGGATCGGAACGGCCGGGCATCGTCCTTGTTTGGCCGAGAAGAAAAGCCGGGAGTCCCGGGGGGCGATCCCCACCACGGGCGTGCCTCCAGCGAGGAGAGCGGCCCGGACGATTTCGGCGAGAGGTCGAACATGCCGTCGCCGATTCGATCGAAGGAGACCGAGCCCGGCTGGGACTGGTCGTCGTCGTGGTGAGAAAGGCAGAACTCGTACGAGCAAAGGCCCCCTGCACAACTAAAGAATAACACTATAACAAAATACCGACAACGAGAGTAACGAATCGCTACTGTGTGGCGCACTAGTGTGAATTTGTGTATGYGTGTTTGTTTTTCACATCGAGCACGTGCGTACGCACTCGCAGCAATGCTATAGTCCTTTTGTYAAAARTRTTGTTTTGGTTTTTGTTTCCTTTCGGCACGCACAAATCCGTGTCTATCGGTCGACGTGCTTTGCCGAGTAGGCCACCAGCCACTTGAGGTTCGTCAGCAGGTACCGGCAGGCCCTGGTCCACTCCAGCGCCCCCGGGCTCGCGGAAGCCCCCCGTTCCGGTCCGCTCCCGTCCCTCTCCCCCCTGCCCTGTTCGTGGTGGTGGTAGCAAATCGACAGGCCCCCGATGGTCCATTCGCCCCCGTTCAGAAAGTTTGCCGCGTTGTTGCTGTTGCTGTTGTTGTTGYTGYTGCTGTTGGCGCCGGCGGCACTGCCACTCGTGGCGTTGGCGCCGGCCGTTTCGTGGCGGATCGCGTGCGGGATCGCGATCGTCTTGTCGGTCTGCTGGGAGGCCGCCTCCGCGACGCACTGCAAAAAGGCCTGGAGGGCCCAGTTGAAGTCCCGGGAGTGGTTCTTGAAAAAGCTAAAGCCCGGTGCCTCCTCGAAGAAGAGGTTGTAGGTGATTGGCGCCGACGGCCCGGCCGCGACGAGGTTCCTCTTGCCCGTCGCCAGCAGGCTCCCGAGGCCCGTCGCCGCCGCCAGGACCCCGGGGGAAGAATCGGGGGTTCCGAAGCGGATCCCGATCTTGCTGGTGCATCCCATGGGAAAGAGCTCGTGGGTGAACCGCATGCCGGTGCCGGCGTTCTTGGAGGAGGCCTCCTGCAGGATCTTGAGCAGGAGGCAGGCGTGTCCGAGGGCGGCGTTGACCTCCGGCCACGGGACCCGCGTCGGCTCGGAAGCCGGGGGGAGGCTCCCCTGGAGTCCGGGAGTGGCGGAAGCAGCGGGAGCCGCCGCWGCGGGCTGTTCGGCCGGATCGCTGCCAAAGAACCCGAGGAGCCTCCTCCGGGGGGCCTGCTTTCCTGGTTCGGAGGTGTTCCCCGAGACGACCCACTTTCCCCCCTTCCGAACAGCCCCGATTCCCGCTTCCTCCCGGGACGCCACCCGCAGCCCGGGGGGGAGCGGGGGGGCCTCCGCRCCCAGCCGGCACCCGTTGATCGTCGCAAAGGCRCCYCCCCCGCCGATCCAGAYGTGGAAGCAGTCGTTCAGGACGTTCCAGCGGCAGGCAACGTCCAGGAAGAGCGAGGCGTGGTCCCTGCCCCTGAGGGCGCTGGCGTACTCGTCGGCCAGCCGCTGCCGGTCCCTCCGGCCCTCGTTCAGGGCCTCCCGGAGGGCCTCCTCCCGKAAGGCCCACTCGGCCCGTGCCGGGTGCTCCCGGATCCGCTTCCGCCGCTTCCGGAGGCACGCGAGGCGTCTCCGCAGCTCCGAGGCGTCGGTGTCGTCGTCGTCGTCGTTGTTGTTGTTGTCGTTGTCGTTGTTGTTGATGGGCTTGGTGTCGCCAGTGTCGCCAGTGTCGTTGTTGCTGGGTTCGTGTGGGTTGTGGACGTGGTTGCTGTCGTGGTTGCTGTCGTTGCCGTTGTTGTTGTCGTTGCCGGGTCCGTCGTTCGTGTTGCCGTGGTGCGGTTGCCGCAAAAAGCGCTCGTCTTCTTCTCGTTCTCGCAGGGACACCGCCTTTTCTTCCTTGGTGGCTTCCAGCAGGGAGACGCTCTGGTCTACCCCGGTTCCGTTGCCAAAGCCGTTGGCCCGGCAGTGGTCTGTCATGGTTCGGTCGGGCGAAGCAAAGCAGGAAGATGTCGGTCCGATTCGTAGCCAAGCCAGTGCGGAAAACCCAACCCGGATCGAATTCAATCGAATCCAATCCAATCGAATCGAATCGAATCGAATCGAATCGGCAACGACCAATCGGTGCAATCGAGAGTCGATCGTGGGAAGGATGAAAGAGCGGCTCTGTCGCAGCTGCCGATGCTACCGCCGCTATCTTCGGGCGGTGTCGTTGTCCGAGAGATGGATAGAACGAGCAGCCCAAGGTTGCTGTAACCTCTCGTCGTTTGGAGGGAGGCCCGAGACAGCGATCGAATCAAAATGCGACACCGAGTTTCAAAACATCGACGAAACAAAACAAGCGAACGGGAACAAATCGAGATTGAAAATAGCAACTGGGGCACTTCTTGCCTGTGCGGTGCTAATATTTTTTGTACGCGATGAAGGCACAGTGCGTAGTACTGTGCGCACTGTACCAAACGGCACGGTGAGCTCGTAATACTGTAATAATGCACCTCACTCGCTACGTACCAGTACGTACTTTACTCGTGCCATCCGCATCAATACGGAACGAACAATGAACGGCACCGCCGAGGAAAAATGACGTGACGTCACGAACGATTTTTCGGCCTGCCTATCTTGACAGCTCTTTTTTCAGAATGCTTGATACGATTCGCACACCGGATCATTTGCCCTCACAAAGGAGAAGAGGTTTTGAGGGAGAGACGTTCCGGCAGAGATTCTGCCCTTGAACGACCACTTTCTTAGTACCGTAGTAGAAGTACAAGAAAACTACTCGTACTTGGCTTGCATCTCAAATTCAACAATGGTTGCTAGACTGCGTCAAGCTGCTGCTGCTGCTGCTGCTGATATTACTTCTGCTACTACTAGTAGTACTATTAGTAGCATACTACTGCTACAAGAAGAAGAAGAACAATGAACGGTGCTGGTGCTGGTATTGCTGCTGGTGCCAGTAGTAGTACAACTAGTTGTTGTAATACTAGTAGTAGAAGTAATATTCTTCTGTATAGTGCTGCTGATTTCTAAATGGAACAACAATCAGGCGACGATGAAAAKAAGTAAACCAGAAGGATTCGAACAATCGAGTCATCCCACATAGCCAAAAACGCGGCAGTATCATCCAGGGCAGGTTTGTCGACCCAGTCGCAGCACTAGTAGTAATACTAGCAAGAAAAAGAACCCATCCTATTTTGTTCTCGTCTACGCCGAATGGCTTCCTTGTTGTAAATATAGCCAATAAGTAGTGTTTTTTTTTCCAAAAAGAATGAAACCGTGGTTTTCTTTAGTATTAAACGGCAATACTGTGGTTTTGCAACAATCGTAGTAGAACACGGTGCAAAACCCCGGGACGGTTCGCACCGAAACGAGCCGCGGGGACCCCGGGAGCCCGTCCTTGGAGCCGAGAAGAACACCGTGCCGGTTCACGGCGCCGGCCGCGCCCCCCCCTCCAGGGAAACCAGGGCCTCGTCGCGGCCCGCCTCCTCCTTGGTCCGGAGCATCTCCTCCACCGCCCTGCCAAAGCCCTGGGGATCGGTGGGGGTGACCACCACGTCCCACTTGTCGCCGTGCCGCAGGAGGACCACGCAGGCCCCCGGGTCGAGGCTCGTCCCGAACCGAATGGCGGGCCGCAGGAGGCCCCCGCAGCCATGGGCCCCGGGGCCGAAACGGGCCCGGGCAATCCCGTCGATGTGAAAGGTCAGGAGGCACGTCTTGATGGCGACCGTCCCGTTCGACCGGACGTCGACCTGCCGGGGCAGGACGGCCATGTAGACAATGACGACCAGGATGAAGAGCCAGCTCAAGATCCACAGCCGAGAGGAATTCCGGAATTCTTCCTGCCGCTGCACGTCAAAGAGTATTATCGACACCAGGAGGGCCGCCAGCGGGGCCAGCAGCAAGACGGCTATCGGCCACTGGTACTTGGAAGAGGCGACAAAGACGATCAGTTTCTTGCTCTGGTTCAAATACGAATAGGATTTCCTCAGGGACCGCGGCGACGTCGATGGCGACGGAAGCTGTTTATTGTTGTTGCTGTTGCTGTTGCTGTTGCTGTTGCTGTTGCTGTTGCTGTTGCTGTTGCTGTTGCTGTTGCTGTTGTTGCTGTTGCTGTTGCTGTTGCTGTTGCTGTTGCTGTTGCTGTTGGCGTTGGCGTTGGCGTTGGCGTTGTGGCTGTTTCCAATGCCGTTCCCACTGCTAGTGGCAGGGGCGCTCGTCTCGTGCAGCGGGGTATAATCCGCCACTATTGGATCCGACGACGGATCCGTCGACGAAGCCGTCGATGGTGTGTCGGACATGATTTGTTCGCTTCCGAGAGCCCGGGGTTTCCCCTTGTTTTCCGCCGACGCCTGTTTGGAATCGCTCAAAGTCCCTTTGGATGCGGCAGCGATTCTTGGCTCCAACTGGGGGCTTCCCTGCTCGGCCTTTGTTGTTGCTTGCTTGCTTGCGTGCAGTCGATCGGGATGGTTCGGAAGAGGTACTAGCAGCGAATCTATATCTCTTCGGTGGATGCTTATTGGTATGGGCTGTCTTCCAGAATCTCCCAAGCGCCGGGGGAAAATCCACGTGCTCTTCTTTCTCTCTCCGAAGCAAACAACTCTTGTACCGTACTTCTACGAGATATCAGCGAAAAACCCCGCACGTCGAACTGGGTTGGAGGTTCCGCAATGCTGCTCGTAACGCCCGGTTAACGCATCATGCGTTTCGCCTACCAATCGTTATAGCCCGGGCACCGTCTTCGCTCGTTCTCGCGCATCCTTCCAGCGCGCACTCGGTTCACGGGCCAGGTCTCCCAACGGAACGGTGCGTGAGAACCGTACGGCGTCTCTCCTGCGCAAGCACGCGCAAAAGATTTCCGAGGCGGGGGAGCTCCCGAAATGGCCGGGGGGAGGATCACAACGATAGCTCCTTGTACTACTACGTAACGTACCGTACTTGGTACTTTACTTATTACTAGCTGTGGTAATTTATTGCTTCGTACGAATAAAGATAATGCATCAAGCGTTGCTTACTACTACTATCTCGTAAGGATACTACGAGTACGAGTTTACTACGCGTTTCGTAACAATTGAAACCGGCCTCCAAAGAGAGCAAAAAGTAATAATTTCAAGTTTCTTAACTTCGATTTGAAGTTATGAACTTTTACTCGTACATCATGCACCAGGTTCTACTGAGCTAGTTTTTTTTAAATGACTGCTGAATGGCTGAATGGATTCCCGGGGGCCCTCAAAACAAAAAAAATGGTTCAGGGTGATTAAAAATGGTTTGAGCTGATTCAATCATGAATCAATCATGAACGCCATCCAAAAACTAGCTCAGTAGTAGAACCTCGTAGACTTTCTACCAGGACATTTGAAGTTCATAACTTCAAATCGAAGTTAAGAACTTGAAATTATTACTTTTTACTCTCTTTCGAGGCCGGTTTCAATTGTTACGAAACGCGTAGTAATTGATATGATAAAATTACACCAAGAATCAATGATTTTTGACCCCTTACTACCTGTAACTTTGGCTGACTACTTCAAAGCCACTAGAGCATCATTTGGCTTCCCAATGACATAGATCTATAAGTAATTATATCAACTTGGACTGGGCGCTTAGTCTGGTGGTCTAGAGTTGTTTTTTGATAGAGTTCTGGCCTATTTTCTAGTAACCACCAGTATCCGGTTGTCTCCCCTGGCCAATTTTGGACATTCTGGCTGTCAATGGAGAACCAGTTCCCACCTGGGCTATAATCGTGTAACAATGACAAACAGCACTCTTCTTAAAACTACTATGACTAAGCATATCTCCAAAGGGAATCTCATTAGAGGCCTTTCCGGAGCTGTTGTGGTTAGCTTATTCTTGAACTTTTTGGGGTTGTTGAAAGAGTGACTGAATACTAATAGTAGTACATCTACTATGTAGAATCAGAAATAAGTACTGAGCTTCAAAATTAACCTAAATTAATCGCAATGCTACTAGTAATATATTTTGGTGTTTGAGTATATTTGAGTAGAATGCCTTTTTGCCCTGTAGGACATGGTAGGGTTTATACGGTTAACACATTTTAATCCGATTAAACTCGTATTACCATAACAGATTTCAAATGTTTATGGGAAAGACCCATTCTATTTTTCAGAACACTATGAACTTTGTACTAGAATCTACAGTGACACAAGAGGTTTCAAGTACTCAACATCTCCCAAACATTGTGACGCTTTAGGTTTAATAATTCTATTTTAATACACTTTCAAATACATGCTATTTTGTGCATAGAATTTACTTACAATGCTTTTAAGTGTTAAAACAAGCAGTAAGAGAAGCCAAAGGATCTACCCCACTGACTAGCATCAAAGCAGTTAGATCAAGAAGCAAGGTGTCATCAATTCGCAAAGAAGATTGACAATGCAATAAGCAAGAAGAAGATTATTAGCATTGGTTAGCAAAGAAGATTAGCATCAATTAGTAGCACCAAGAAGATCAAGCATCAATTAGAAGATAGCATCTATTGGCAACGAGGAAGATTAGCATTGATTGGCAATGAAGATCTATTGATAGTTACTACATCCATTGACAGTTTAGATCCATCAACAGTGGATAGCAACAGCAAATAGCAATGTTTAGATCCATTGACAGTCCATAGATAATTTTCACAGTGCTCCTCACTAACATTCTTGGACCATTTCAACTTCACACACAAATAATGAGGATAGCACAACAAGCTCTCATGAAGGTTTCCTTTCATTACATGTGCAGCATCATCCATCCTAGACATCAAATGTAGCTGAAACTTGAGCATTGCTTGGTGCCTCAAATTATCAAGCAACTGTCCCTGATTAGATAACATTTGCACTATCTGAACAAACTCCGAGTGGGTCAACTCCCTATCAGCTTCACTTGCTCTACCAGTGCCTCTTGTCTCAGACTTCTTTGCTGCAGCAATCAGCTGATTGACTAAATGGGATTTAGTAGGATTCCCAACTTCATTAACCTCATCCCAAGCAGACTGAGTCAACATGAAATGAGACAGCGCCTTCTTCCACCAATAGTGCGACACTGATGTAGACCTTGCATCTTTAGGACAGTCTGCACTACCAGGATCATCTTTTCCATAGGCTCTCACACAGAACCATCTGTAGATAGCCTTTGGCCTAATTGATTGTATCTTTCAGTTAACAGTTATACGGTGGGTTACTATACTTGTTATTAGGTGACTCCAGTAGTTAATAAAATAATACAAGCACACACGCGAGCCAGGTAGAAATGTACACCAAAAAATTGAACTACTAAATATGAGGGGTGCGCAAAATATGTGCGAATAAAAATACAGTAAAACAACGTGTAGAAAATATGGTTCTGGCCACATAGTGCCTCTTCTAGCTCACGAGGTTAAATATAATATTAAGTTTTTTTAAACAACGGTAGAAAATACATGTGTATCATTTTCCAGATACTCTATGTGTATTCCTCTTGCGACCTTCAAATCGGCGATACACAGATATCGCTTAATATTAATACCCGTTCCTATCTTCATTCATAATTGACTTTACTGCCCTTGACGTTAGGAGCTCTCTTCATTCCGAACACTAATTCAACGTTCAGAATCTCTTAAGTAACATAAATTCAATTATTATTTAACGCCTAGTAACAGATTCCTAATGTTTACGGGAAAGACCCGTTCTATTTTTGTTTTGTCGCTTTCGAATTGTCACTCAATGCTCCACCTCATAAATTGAAATTTCAAATTTCCAACCCCAGCGAAACCAAAACTTGCAAAACCCTTTCGTTTTGACCTATCGAATCCTTACGAAAAAAAAATTAGTATATCTTCGAAAGCTAAATCATCAGCTAATAGAACTGCTATCATGCCAGACATCGAATCCATGGACGATGAAGAGAAGAACTCTTCTGTCGAAGACGTTGGTGCAGAGAATAGATCAGAGAAGAAGCAAGTTAGTACTTCTCATGATGATTCTGTTAGTGGAGTGGAGGAAACCGAGACTCCTAAAATCCCTAAGAAGCATGCTCCAAAGGATTGTTTTAGTCTGCTACAAAATGGCTCTCTTTGGTTTGGACTCCTCGTTCCTCTTCTACAGATTTGTATCTATGCCATGTTTCTTTTTGGTGCAAAGATAGGTTGGCTCGATAGTGTTAGTAGGAAATCAACGGCTGATCTGATTTTTGGTAATGGTCCTTCTGCTTATTTATTTGAAGCTGATTATAATGATTATGCGCACATTCACAGAAACGTTAGTGGAATTGATGGAATAAATGCGACACTAGCTTCAGAAGCAATTTATTTCGACGAAAATGTGCCAGTGAGCAATATTTATCTTCAGGTTGCTAAAGGTCTCGCAATGATATCGTATGTTCTCGTCCCAGAAGCAGGAATTGCAGATCTGATCAAAGCAATTCACCAGAGGCCTAGTGGCTGCAGCTGTGTCTGCAGCTGTTTCTGCAATTTTGATCGGTTTGTATCCAGACTCAGGTTCTTTCATTCCTGGTTGGCAATATGGACAGTTGCAGTTTTGATCATTGCTTCGAACGAGATTATGGACGTGTTTTTGAATTTTGCGGCCATGAATTTTGCTTCTGATATTGACGAAAAAGCATTTGAGTTGGCCCAGAAAGGAGTCTTTGGCGAAAAATTGAAAAAGGAAGCCAAAAGCATTGCCGATGGCGAGGCCGAGCCTGAGGAGCAAAAAGAAGTGAAGGCTCATCGGACTGGTATGGCTTTGGTGGGTACTTTCTTTTCTCTAATGTTTTTACTTGATGCCTCGCCTGTGACTTTGATGGGTGTCCTTCGTGTGCTGCCCCCGTATCCAATTTTCATGGAGGAGTAAATGGCCTAGCATCGAGGACAAACAGAAACGATCGGCAGCGATTACCTTGGTAATAGAGAAAGGCTTCGATGCTTCGAGCGATGCAAAATATGGCAATGTACAAGTAGGAGCCACTGTAGAAGATTTTTGGCCGTTGCTTACTAAACCGTTATTGCTAGTATTAGTCCCGATTCACTTGCTCCCACTTCAAGCGAACAATGTCTTGGATCGGTAGATCCCACATTTTCCGGAAGAGACGGCCGGCCTCCGAATCGTCCTCATTGCCATTGATATTGCCATCGCCATTGCCATCGCCGGCTTTGCCGCCCGCTCCGGTAGCGGACTGGTTGCGGAGGAGGTAGTAGTCTCCCAGCGGCAGGCGCCTGCCCCTCGTCGGCGAGTGCTTCCAGCCCCCGTCCAGGACCGCCCGGATCCGGTCCAGGGACAGGCTTCGGGGCGGGTAGCCAAAGTAGACCAGGCTGACCCGTTCCTCCCGCGAGGGGCTCACCACCCGGTGCCTCGGGGACGGCCAGGAGACGGGCAGGGCATCGGCGTCGTTGTTCTTGTCGTTCTTCTTGTCGTTCTCGCTCCCGTTGCTTTCGCCGGCCGCGGTGGGGCCGGCGTGGGGGCTGCCGAGGACGAGGCTCGCCATGTCGCCCACGTGGACGATGCACCGCCAGCGATGGCCCTTTCGCCGTACGGGGGTCTCTGCTTCGGCTTCGGCTTCGGGACGGACGTCGATCCAGCGGTGGGACGACCGGCAGTAGGTCTGCAGCCCGCCGACGGCGTCTTGCCAAACCACCGTCAGGCTACCCCAGTCGGTGTGCTCGGAACTCCCGAGGGTCGGGGCCGGCGATGTTCCCTCCTCACCCGCCACGGCGTAGTAGTGAAAGACGCGGAGCAGGTCGAGAGACTCGCCCGGGTCCAAGGGCAGGAAGGAATCCGGGGGAAGCTCCAGCACGACGCCGCAAACCCGGTGTGCGATCCACGAAAGCGTCCGGCAGAAGGTCTTCACGGTCCGCTCGTCGCTCTCGCCGGGGAGCGGGTGGCCGTCCGGAGGATCCTGGCAGTTCGACAGCCCGACCTCCAGGCTCTCTTTTGGCTCCACCGTTCCCTCGCTGGATCCGCTCTCGGAGGGAACATAGACAACGTCTCCGAGTTCGTTGGTGCCGTCCCCGACCCGTTGGTTTCGACGACGAAAAATCCCGAGTATTTCTTCCTTGGACGGCGAGGGACTCGGGGCGTCGGGCACAACGATAGGGCTCCAGCCATGGATTCGCAGGTTTCCTACGAGGACGTTCCTGCTGGTTTCGTCACAGCAATCGCTGGCGTCGCTTCCACCCAGCAAACGAACGCAGGGAGGTGCTCGATAGGTGCTGTTGCATTCGGGTGCTCGAAACTGCTGCTGGTTGGTCTCTGTCGAAGGCAGTCGTTTGTCGCCGTCGACCACCGGTGGCTCTGGGTCGTTCTTGCGATAAGATTCCGGGGCCATTTCCGCTCCGGTTGCTACAGAGGCATCAACTAATGAAGCCAAGCCATCGCCGGCGCTGCGTTGGGTCGTGCTTTGTCCGTGTTCTATTTTATCGTATCGTATCGTATCGTACAGTATCGTGCCGTACGTACCAGACCGTTCAAAAAATGCGGGAAGAATTCTTGTTCTATTTTTGTTTTTAACAATACTTCCACTGGCAGTAACTCGTTCTTCTAATACGAATTACGTACGTAGGTAAATGGTAGAAGTACGCACGTGCATTGATGTGAAGTGCATTTTGCATTCTTATTTGTGAAGCCATCTGTCCTCGGGCAATAAAAAAGATTATTGTGGAGGCATGGAGTGTCTGTCTGTCAATTTCATCGTGAAATGTACCGGTAGGTTCTTCTTGATTGAGGATTCGAAGTGATTTTGATCGTTTAGTAGACGCAAAAATCGAGATCAAAATTCACTCGATTCTTCCATCGATTGAACCGAACCATCCGATGATTGTTGCATGTTATCGTTGAACTTTCTGATACGATACAATGTGGTCGCTTTAACCATTTCGGATGAGATGGCATGCAATCGAAGATAGGATATACAGGTACGTTAAGATTGAACCAACAGCGTGAGTCCGGCAAAGCACAGCAGAGAACAACCTAGAACAGAACACGACCCATTGAACCATCCAAAGACCAAGCTCGGCATATATTGCACATCGAAGGATTGCCAAGAACCAACCTCGTCGCATACACACCACCAGATTACCATCTACCCGATTGTTCAGCAACACATCTATCTGCCTATTGAACAGTGCGGGCCCCACGTATATCAGCTTACTGAAGAAATCAACCACGCATAAATTGCACCACAAGACCATCTACTGCGATTGACAACAGCGTCGCTTTAGAATACACTACGCACGTATGAGATAAGATACGAAATGAAGAAACCTATCCTACCATAAAATTGGAACAACCGACCCTTTAATGTGACTAAGAACAA